AAACGGATCAACTACACCATCACTGAAACGTGGTTCACCATGAAACGATTTCATATTACTCATGAATCAATTACAACATGAACCAGTTTCACMTTCATRAAACHTRTTTCRTTAACATTATTTTTTTAATTTGAACCATAATTTACGATTTCATTTCATAATACAATTCAATCTTCAAGACCCGTTTGCAGATTCAATCTCATAACGATATATCAAATTCAAATTTTTAATATTATAATATAATTAAATATTTAAATGTTACCATTTATATAATTTCCTTTATTACATTTCCTTACTTAAGATTTATTAATAACTTTCATGTTTAATAGAAAATATTGTAAATGACCGAAATACCCTTATTGATTAAATTTAATTAGAAAAAAATGGAATTTTTCTATTGATCGAACTTGGTTTACACGGTTTTCATTTGAACGTGCCCCTATATATATATATATATATATATATATTATAGAAGTCACAAATGTAATAAATTCCATTGTGTGTTTCCACTTTTGATGTGGGGGTAATGGGTATAGTCCTATGAATCCAAAGGTACAAGTAAAAAGGGACATGAGACACGTGAGTCATAATGATCGTGATTGGACTAGAAGACCTTGGATGTTCCCTTCTTTATTGCCCACCAAATGAATATTACCCCTTTTGTGTATATCATGGAACTTTATTCACTATCTATCTTAGTTTTGGTCACCAAACAACTAACACACACTGCAAAATTTGGATCTTCGATTCCTTTGATTCTTTTCTTATGTGACACCAAACCTATACACGGTTATGAGAAACCGATAGAATAAATTGCTCGAACAAGTAATTAGAATTACTCAAATAATAAAAACGTACAAATCAAATAGTAGTAAAAGCAAGTTATAAATTTAGTTATACAATATATTTAAAAGATATGTAAATTGAATGCCAATAAATCAAATGTTATCGATCTTAGTATTTAGGGTTGAGTTCCACTGATAATAAAAGTTATGTTAAGAACGGTAATAAATAATCTTCATTTTTGTAAAATTCTACAACACCGAAAAATAATTACAACGGGAAAGAAATAAATAAAAAAACTTTGAAATTAAAGTTTTAGACAGAGAAATATTATTAAATTAATATTATAATTTTTTGAAGTTAAATAAAATTTTCTATTAAACTTTTTATTTTATAAATTTTTTTAGAGGAGATGTTAGGAAAAAGGGGTAAACACGTGTGTCCCACACATGTGCATCTGCACGTGGGGTGTGGAAAATAATGGTAGTACTTTCGGCTTTAACAGTTGCACGCCAACTTATCACTGTCAGTCAGACACGCACGTTACCCTTCCAAATATTTGACTACACTTTTTGTTTCCGATTTCCTTTCTACCACTTCCACCTAATTTGCCATTTTAAGTTATTTTAATTTCTTTATAAATTAAAAAATAGTTTAACTAAAAAATAATTTTTTTTCCTTTTCTTATAACTTAGATACCTAAAACCAATCTAAATTAAAATAATAATAATAATAATATATTAGTAATTAATTAAAGATGTTGGAAAACTATTTTAATTCACAAGTTTTTTATTTATTTAAAACTATTTTAAATATTTGAATCGAGTATGCAATTAAACTATGATTAATTACTCTTTTTTACATGTAAGAGGGTGTTCTTGATGTGAAACTATCACCCATCACATGTGGTACTATAATCTATCACATATGATATTAAATCATAGACTCAAACGACCTTTGGTGCGACCTAATTCGCAAGACACGTCGTCCGCACACCACCAGATCCCCTCACGTGTATTATCACATGTGATAAGAGTGTTCTCATGTTCTCGTAAAATGAGGTGTTTTTGTTTCAACCTCCACCTATACACATACACACACACACACACACACACACATATATATATATATATATATATATATATGGAGGTGTTCATTTGAGAAGTGATAAGTATTTGAGAAGTAAAGAAGTGATCCTAGACCTTCATACGATCAATATTGGTCAAGAATTGTGACTTTGACCGGTCAAAGATTACGGGACCATCAAACTAGAGACCAAAGCAAGGCTCAACAAAACATAAGGTATCATAGTACGTTGTCCTTCCCTAAAATGGAACTTTCATGCTGGAGCAAGAACTAGCATGAAAGTCAATCTATTACAACCAGCGCAATTATTTGTATTTCATTTTCTTCTTCCAAGCCCTTCTTTCTTAGAAAGACACTTACTGAGTTTGACTATTCAAGCAAACAATAGAGAGGTAGTTTTGTAACTTTTATAAACAAGTGGAAAACAAATACATATGTGAATTCATAGTTCATATGTCAATCAATTAATTAGCTCATATGTGAATCACACGGGTTCACATATGCATTTGTTTGACGCCTATTTATAAAAGTTACGAAACTACCCTCAATCTTCCGCATACCATGCGGGGAATGATCAGTGCTTCACAGTCAAAGTTGTAAATCTTGATAAAATAAAGGGCTAGGATCACTCCTCTATTTCTCAATATTTACTACTTCTCAAATGAACCAATGGCTATATATACATGCACACACACATACACACACACACACACAAGGGCCTTCTTTTAAGAAGTTGACAATTTATGGAAATTGTGAGGTCCATTTTAAGCCACTAAATTATATTAAATTAGGAAATTAGTAATTTTGGTATTTTAAATTATAAGATTAAATAAAGAGCATTGTGTGTATTTGTAAAATCCCTCTCCTCTCTCATCCCCTCTCTCTCCCTCCCTCTCCCTCTCCATTTGACCACCATCCCATCCTGAACCTTTGTGAACACTGACCACATTGTGAATATGAGTAATTGTTCAATAAAACTAAACTTACGAATTTCAGAGTGTGAACACATTGTGAACCTTTTGAGAACCAATTATCAAGCCTTCGAATGCATCGTCGAGACATATTGTGAACACCATGGTGCACATTGTGAACAACATGGTACACATTGTCAGCAACATGGTACACATTGTGAACACCATTGTAAACATAAAACGATATCAATTTTGGAATACATTGGTGAACACCACGATACACATTTGGAATGGCAACACAACCTCCATCTACGTTAGAAGAGATTTGTGGTTCATGTGTTCACTTTGGGACTATCCGTACAGGAT